ATGAGATCTTGCTATGTTGCCCAGCCTGGTTTCAAACTTCTGGTGTCAACGATCCTCCCACCTTGGCATCCCAAAGTGCTGGGATTATAGGCATGAACCACTGTGCCTAACCAGACCATAAAGTCTTAAAATGGAATCAAAATAGCACGGTTTTAGATCCATAGTTATTTTATGTATTCAGAAGGTAGTACCTTCTTTCATTTGCCCAAGGTCACAGGGTAGCTATGGGGAGCTTTATGAGCTTAGATTTCCTGATTTGGTGAACTCTTTCATGTAATGGCTGCCCACATGTTGGGATACTTTTTCAGCGTTTGTTAGTTTCAAATGATAGGTTTTCGAATGTGCAGACAGAATGACATTAAGTTATAGTAGGCTTTTGCTTCATTCTTTTTTGTGGGACAGGTAGGCGTGGGGAATGGAGTTTCAGGCTGGAGTGCAGTGGTATAATCTTGCCTCACTGCAACCTCCACCTCCCAGGTTCAAGGAATTCTCCTGCCTCAACTTCCCAAGTAGCTGGGATTACAGGTGCCCACCACCACGCCCAGCTAATTCTTGTATTTTTTGTAGAGACAGGTTTCACCATGTTGGCAGGCTGGTCTCGAACTCCTGACCTCAGGCGATCTACTGGCCTCAGCCTCCCAAAGTGCTGGGATTACAGGTGTGAGCCACCGTGCCCAGCCACTTTATTCTTTGCTAGACAGAAGTCATATAAATACTTGTTTTGCTCTTTAACTTTCTCTTAAATAGGCTTCCCTCACCCCTCCAAAAAAACCCCAACTTTCTTGGATATATTTGTGTGTATGTATGTGTTTTTGTCTACTAACTAGCTTTTAAAAAAACCTTCTATTACTAAGTTATAATAAAGGTATTACATATAATACCTTTAAAAACTTATATATGGGAAGGGCTTTAGAATGAGCGGTTTAGGCTTCCTCAATGGTTGTGGAATAACTTCATATAGCTATATTGCTATAATATTCTAGTAAATATTATAAATGGCCAGCCAGTAGTTTGATGAATTTAATAAGGTGTGGAAAGACATAAAATGACCTTTTTAGTTTAAAAAAAAAATGTCTAGGCCGGGCATGGTGGTTCACGCTTATAATCCCAGCACTTTGGGAGGACGAGATGGGTGGATCACCAGGAGTTCAAGACCAGCCTGGCCAATGAGGTGAAACCCCATCTCCACTAAAAATACAAAAATTATTCTGACATGCTGGTGCATGTTTGTAATCCCAGCTACTTGGGAGGCTGAGGCTGGAGAGTCGCTCGAACCCAGGAGGCAGAGGTTGCAGTGAGCCAAGATCATGCCACTGTACTCCAGCCTGGGTGACAGAGTGAGACTCTATCCCCCCACCCCCCAATAAAGCCTAGATTTAAATTCCAGCTCAACATTTATTAGTGACTTTGAGCAAGTTACCGTCATTCAGTTTCTTAGTTTATAAGTTGGGAAAATAAAGTTCTAATCATCTTCATGGAATTCTATTTAATTAAAGTACTTCTTTTGGTTCATAAATAAAAGCACTTTATAAATGGTAGTGCCCCATAAGTTCAGTGCCCAGCACTGTCACCCACAAGAGGTATATTTGGAATCAGGGATGTGACTTTAGAGAAGTAAACTTTAGTAATAGAAAGATTTTTTTAAGTAACAGATGGTTATGCAACTAGGCATAGCAGGTCATAGTTGGTGAAAATGTATGCCAAGGAAATCAAATGAAATTAGAGAGTTATCATAATGGTCCTAAGGAAATAATTTTTTAATTTGTGCTTTACCGTTCATATGTTATTATACAAAATAAGCCTTTAAACAGCACTGGGGGAATTATGTCTGATCCAGAAAAGACATTTTACTTTCTTTATTTTTATATTGAGCCCATGGGCTGATTGATTTTCAGATGTTTTAGTATAATAGATTCACATTGATGAATGTGGAAAAGAAAGAAACACTAAAGTACCAAGCATTATTTTAGATACTTTCAGATCTATTACCTCCTTCAATTCTCACAACTGCTTTGTAAAGCGAGTATTATTAACCCTTATTTTGTAAATGAAGAAACCAAGGTTCACAGGGTCATAAGTTTTGCATATAAAGTCATCCACCTAGCAAGTCATTAAACTGCGATTGAAAACCAGATCTGTGTATAACTGCCAAGCCCATACCTTGTTTAGTATTACACGCAGTTAGATATAGGAACTAGTGGTAGGATCAAAAAACGAAATTTTTTTTTTTTTTTTTTTTTTTTTTTTTTTTTTCTTTTTTTGAGACGGAGTTTCGCTCTTGTTACCCAGGCTGGAGTGCAATGGCGCGATCTCGGCTCACTGCAACCTCCGCCTCCCGGGTTCAGGCAATTCTCCTGCCCCAGTCTCCTGAGTCGCTGGGATTACAGGCACGCGCCACCATGCCCAGCTAATGTTTTGTATTTTTAGTAGAGACGGGGTTTCACCATGTTGACCAGGATGGTCTCGATCTCTTGACCTCGTGATCCACCCGCCTCGGCCTCCCACAGTGCTGGGATTACAGGCTTGAGCCACCGCGCCCGGCAAAAAACGAAATTTAAGTTTAAAAATTTTGTGTAAGGAATAGGATTTATATAACTCACTCTATAGTGTAAAAATAGCATATTTGTACATTTCTGTTTTATTAATTAGGAGTTTGCCTTACTGAAATTTAGACATTTCATTAGATATACTTAAAGACACAAAGTTGAAATTAGTATGATGTCTTTTATATTCTAAATATGATTAGTATATGAGTTAATTGTTAGTGTCTTGCTTTTTTACTTAGATGAATTTATAGAGTCTTATGTAAATGAAATTAAGAATTAGATCTGGTCTGTAGGTCCCAAAGGAATTGCTACCTTAAGTTATTCTAGGTTGAATATTTTTGAAGGAGGAAATAAAGAATGTACTTGTTCTTCATATAAATTTGAAGGCATATATGATTTTAAGTGTAAGTGGAGTGTACTTCTTGGTGTATTTGATGTTTAAAAGCCCTTGAGAATTGTAACAGAAATGTTCTTCTGTTTTTATTAGGTGTTAGACAAACCCAGTAGGCTAACTGAAAAGGAACTTGCTGAGGCTGCAAGCAAGTGGGCCGCTGAAAAGCTAGAGAAATCAGATGAAAGTAACTTGCCTGAAATTTCTGAGTATGAGGTAAGGCATAATTTCTCTTTTATGTTTCACATCTGAATGTTTTGTTTTAAATTATGGGTTGAAAATATTTGGTTTATTCCCTACCTCAAAATATAGCCTCATGGATTACAGGTATTAAAATTTACCACACAGAATGATAGTCTGAATATGAATGACTAAATTCAGTAATCACGCTTTGTCTGAATGTCTTCTATAGTTTTGGAGTATAAGAATAGTATAAATATGGAGTATAAGAAAAATGCATTATTTATATACTTCTTTTAATGGGCTTTGCCATTAAAAGTATCTCAGGAAATCATGCTAAGCCACTAGTTGTAAGCCAGTGAATTCAGAACAGAAATCTAATTGGACCTTGGATTGTACCATATTTATATTGCTTGTTATACTTCATGCAGATTATCTCATAAATATTTCAAGAAATGAAGTTATTCATTGGGCAACCTGAGACTTTGATGAGTTTTGAGTACAAAAAGTTGAGAACATTTTTGAGACCATAGAAAAAGGTTTATGACATGTTTTTATTAACATATTTTGAAATGAACTGAAAAGTTTCTATATAACCTGTAACGTGTCTAAAAGGGAAATATAGAAATTTTATGTGCAAAATTAAGCTTTTAGATTCAGAATTTGATACTAGAGTAGTTCTTTGACATGACAGGTAGACAATATAAAAATCTGTCCCGTGACAAATTATTATATTTGAAGGAGAATTCTGGCTTTTTAATTTACTTTTGGAATGACTTATAGATAGTTCTTTGATAAAAGGGATCAAGCATTGATACTCTACATAAAAATAGTGCTTAACTACATCTTTATACACTGAAAAGATCCTTTCCAAAGTACCTAATGAAAACTGCTCATAAAAAGTACAAACCCTATCAGAACTTACAAAAATAGAGCCTTTCTTTTAAAAAATGCCGATCTCTCTTTTAGATATCAATTGTTCTTAAGTGGGTCAAGGTTTTCTCCTTATTGTAGCTATAATAATAGATACTTATGCGTATCCTTCGGTAAATGGATCAGAAACACCAAGCTATTCCTCCTTGGTACTTTTCCAGCACTATTTAAAAGCATGAACAATACTTTTCAGTAATAATTTAATTGGATTATTTTGGTTATTTTCTCTAACAATTTAGAATAGTGTTTCTATGTTAATAATTGATATGTATGCTTCAAAATTGCTGCTTCAGAATATTGGTAGTTTGTTTTGTAGAACCAAAAACTTCCAAAAAGAATAATTTCTTGTTTCCTAAATACTTTATCTTCAATTAGCAAGGCTTTATGTATTCATCTTCCCTTCTCTTAACATTTTTTATCTCAGGATTTTATAAAAGCTCACTACTTTTCTAAAATTTAAAATATTCTACTTGGGTTCTCTCATTTCTTGACTGCATCTTGACACTGAATAATCAGTGAGTGACATTGGATTTAGAAAGAGTTTTTTTAAACATCTTTTTTTTCCTTTAAAGTTTGCTCAGAATTTGCTATATTTTGAATTAATGAAAAGTTAAATAACCCTAAAAATCTGTAAATGGAGTCATAGGTCAGACATGTTCTTTTGTTGGATCAAAGGCAAGATATGTGAGAGTAGCACTGATAACCATGATATGTTTATTTGTGTATATCATTAATGTTGACCAGCAGCATCAATTTCATCCCATTCTGTAAAATGTTTTTCCACTTAGATTGATACTTTTTCATACTGGAAATAAAACATTCGGGAAATTTTTGTGATAATTTTTGTAAAGTTAGTCCCATATCATCTTAATATTTTTCTCTTATTTATATTTTTGCTTATTAATATTTTGCTAATTTACTAACTATTTAACAGTAGTTCTCAGGCTGTTGTTAAATAGTTACTCATTTCAGTAGTCCATGCTTATTGAGAAATAAAATTTTGGCCTTGGTCCTATAAACTCATATCTAACTTGACAGAATAACCTGGAAAGAAGAAAGGCCTTTGATGCCAATAAAGAGTTTGTCAAAATATTGTGTATGTGTGAATGTGCATCTGTGTTTAAATCTAATTGTGGCAATATTTTAGTTTATATGAGGCTTTTAAGTAATGGTTCATGTACTTCAGAAACATTGTGTAAATTACATTATTACGAGCTTAGAGAGATAGAGTGCTTAAGTTTCCAACTTATCATCACTTGCTGCCATCAGTATAGTTGTAAGCAATTTGGGAAAACCTGTAGTTTATAGAAAGTCCAGTGAAATTGAAGGTAAATTAATAATATACTTAAATATTCAGACATGTTGTGGTTCCTGCCTCTTTTCAGTTTTATACTTCAGTTTTATACTAGCATTTCCCAAAGTGTTTGATACTATATTTGATGCTTTGGGAAGTGCTGTATTAGAAACCCAGAAGTTGAAAGTGTAAGGCTGTGCTTAGTCTGAAGGGTCTTAGTGGTCTAAGGAAGGAAAAAAAAAAACAAAGATTCTAATAGCCAGTGTATTTGAGAAATGCTAGTTTTAAAATGGTTAGGTTGGCTTTAATATTTCAGCACTTTTTAGAGATTTTAATGTATTATTAATATGCTCATCAGTGTCAGTAAGAGGGCGAATAAAAGTTTTCATAATTTACCAACTTTTGACTATGCAATTTTTTTCACAGCATATATTGCAGGATTAGTGTATTAAGGCACACTTTAAAAAATACTATACTAGTTTTCTTCTAGTTCATTTAAATTCACTAAGTATGCAGTGTTAGACATTGCTTTTGAGATACTATCCTAGCCATCAAGGAGGTTGCAGTCAAGTTTTGTGGAGATATAATTTGCTGTCCTTAAACAAATAGCTGTGAGAGTTTTCTGTTGGTTGTTGGAATGAAAAAAAAAATTATTTGAAGAATATCAGAATGTCCCGGTAGATGAGACTGAGGCAGGAGGATTGCTTGAGGTCAGG